ACTGTTTTATTCTGCCCTGTTTTCTGGGAGTTGAAAGCTTTTTTCTTCTTTTTAGTTTGAGATGACTTCTTTGCTAAAACCCCTTGTTTAGGATTTGCTTGAACTAAATCTGTAGATTCTTCTGATTTCTCCCGGTTGTTATAATCTCGTAGAGTAAGAAGACACGTCTGTTGATTCAATTCAATGTTTCCAGTAATACTAGATATCTCTGTAGAAGAGGGATTAGCAATAAAAGCAAAATCTTCCATCTTTATTTTACATTTAGTTACCACCTCTTCCACTTTGAGAAAGTCAGCAGCCTGATGAATTTCTTTAACATTCCAACTGTAAGGAAAAAAGGCTAAATGACAGTATTCTGATCAAAGAAAAACTTTTTTTTTTTGAAAGAGCTGCATATGTATTACAATGTCTTTTAAAGCCCTAACAGCAGAATGCTGAAAACGGTATAAGTTAACAACATTTTACAAAATTTAATTCACTCAGTATGTTTAGGCAAAGATCTCCCATTATATAAAACTTGTAAAGATGAAAAATTGGCTACTCATACCTACTACAGAAAAGTAAAATGTTAAATTTTCTGGCTTAAAAAAAGTCCTGGAACACAAAAATAATAGCTGGCTTCCTCCCATTCATTCTGAGGCCTCTTCAGATAGCAATCAACTTTTCTGGAATAGCAACAGGAAAAGTCTAATGAAAATTGTTTCCTACTACTTCTCCCTGCTCCCTTATGAGGGATCTTTTCTTTTCTTTTTGTTTAATTTTTCTTTTTCTTATGTACTACAGATTCAACCCAAGGAACTTGCTATACAAGTGCAATTAATGACGGACTTTTAACTGGATTAACAAATGTCAACTGTGCATGTGAATCACCCAGAAATCTTGTCAAATGAAATGAAATTCAAATTTGGCTAAGTTTGTGATGGAGCCTGAAATTCTAGTTTTTATTACTTAAAATAAAACTTGTACTTTACCTGTCAAGATTTAAAGTTCCTGTGTATATAAACTCCAACAATTTCTGAAATCCATCAGCCTTCACCTGACTCTGATCAAGAAAAACATTGTTTTCAGAAGTACTTCTGTAGATCGCACCAAAATACTCACTAAACGAGGCGAGCACATTCCTATGGGCTTTAAACTGGAATTCCCCAATCACTATGGTGCAGTCACAAAGAAAACCTGCTTCTCGTTGTTTGTTCAGTCTCTCTAAAAGGTGCTCACAGTGGTGTGAATACTGCATTTTGATATCAGGATGTAATTTTACCCTGGATCTAAAAGTCAGAAAGAAATAGTATATAAGCAACTGTAAGTTTGGACCAAATGTTTACCTAAAGTTAGGTAGGAAGGGGGAGAAGGGACAGAGAACAACACAGATAATAGGTTAGCTTTTGGTTTGTCCCCTATGAAAAGCTTTAGTACACATGGTTAAAAATGTTCAAAGGGTAAGTCTTTGTTTCACTTTGGACACTACTACAATCCTTTGGACACATCAAGAAATGACGGTGAATGGAAACACTTCCAGGAGTTGCAAAAAGGATTGCCAAATTCAAGCTTTTACATCAATTGAACCCTCGAAACTTTCAAGCTCAGTAGGTATGCACACGTTAAAGAAGAAAAAAAAAAGACACTACTAAGAAATGACTCCTTTCGACATATGGAAGGGAAAACAGTATGAGGTTTGAAAAATCACCAAGAGCAGTTAGCTCCGCTGGGCAGTTTCTCTAAAGGGAAGGGAGGGTGCCCAGGGGGCGGGGACTGCGCCGAGTCAAGGGTTGTCAAAACTGCTGTCACTCGCCCCGAAGAGGACATACCCCTCCTCCACGAGAGGGGTGTCGGAAGGTGACAACCAATGCCAGGCCTCGTGCGTTTCTGCTGCTCCGTCCTCTGCCAGCTCCCACTCCCGTGAATTGCTACAGCACAGGCTGTGGTCAGAGCCACCGCCCAGGCAGCTTCGACCAAGCCTTCCACCTTCGCCGCGACCCGCTTTCGAATTCTAAGGAGCCTGCCCTCGGATGTCCCAGGGTCTGGAAAGGGCAAGGATGGAGGGCAGCGGGTGGAGTGGACACTCACCGACAGCCACCCAAGGGGAACAGTTTCTTCACTCTCTCTCCGCCATCTTGGGAGGACGTCACCGCGTCACGCCCCGCCTCTCCCTTCTTCCTCTATAGCGTCACATCCGGCTCCGTGGTGCCTTGGCAACGTAGGCGGCTTTGAGGTTGTGGAGGTCTGGTACCCTCCAGGGCCGACCAATTGGCCCTCAGAGCTCCCACTGCCCAGCATGCCTGGGGCTCGGGAACTGCAGGCGTCAGGGATACGAGACCTAAGGGCTTATTCTCAGCGCTGTCCGTCTTCATCCTGCTGAGCATTCTGGTCGGCCGAGTTCCGGAGCAAGACCAGGCAGCGCGGGCCTGCCGGCCTCTGCAGGAGCCACACTGCGCACTGCATGCTGGGGCTTGTAGTTCCTCGTCTTCTCCAACCATCCTCCCCTTCCTCGGGCCCCGCCAGTGGAAGCCACTGCTTTGTGTACTCTGGCTTTCGGTCTCAGGGGACGTCTGAGCTAAGGCCGATCACCCTTTTCCCCTTTACGTACCCGAAGGCTCTTGGAACCCCCTGAGTTTTGTTTTTTCGCCAGGCAACTGTAATTCGGCTTGCAGGATGCCTTTACCTGGTGATAGAAGCCGGAGACGCACCAAAGCAGAGCAAAGCAGCAGGGCACGCTGGGCATGCGCAAGATTAGAGGAAGGTGGGCTTTGTACCGGAAAAGGTTTTCCTGCGTTTGGACTACAACAATTTTAATAAAATCATTTACATCGAATTTGGGTATTGTACAGTCAAGGAAAAAGATACTAGTTCCGTCTGTAATACACAAAGGTATCGGGAAAAAATAAATCTTGCTGATGTACTAGGGATATTCTCTAGTATCCTTGGACATCATAAATCTCAAAAAACCACACTTTAAAGCTTTTTTCTAGTTAAAATTACATGTCAGGACCTTACAGAATTTACTCATGACTTTAAAAGACAATTTCAATTTAGATTCTTTCTTCTGTTGGGTGCTTTTTTTTCCTACCAAATTATAAGTTTTGTCCAAGAATAGTTTTTATGACTAAAACTGCAATTCTTATGTTAGTTCATTAAATGTTTTTGAGGCAGGTTCTTTCTTGATTTCAACTGTGAGTGTATATATATTTTTTTATTCCACCTTTTTTTTTGTCAGACATGTTTCCAATAACTCAGAAATGTGTGATCCCAACATGACACTATATGATGAACCGGTCTCCATACATTTAGGGGAAAATAAAATCTACGAGACAAAACTAAAGACATTGTATAAAGAATGCACAGGAGGCAACAAGGCTAGTTTAATATTTTTATTCTATTTGATCTCCCCTTATAAGCGATACGGTTTTTTGAGCATTAGAATGGTTGGTAGTCAAATTTTTAATTTGGGGCAGTTTCCACATAGCAAACCTGCAATTAAAACATCTGGTGGAACCATAAAGTATTAAGCGGAATTGAAATTTTAAACTCTGTAGACTTTGCAAATATGTTTTGAAAGATCATCACATCTAACCTTAGGTATTATTTTGGGGCGCCCTTAAAAGTAACTGTTTCCGCCCGGTTTCGAACCGGGGACCTTTCGCGTGTTAGGCGAACGTGATAACCACTACACTACGGAAACTCCGTTAGAGTAAGGGCTTCAAAAGTCCCTGTTATGTATATACATGTTAACAAATAACTCCCCAAATTAACGTATTTTTTAAGAGGAAAACTGATAAAAACAAAACCATATGCTCAACTGAACCATGCTGAAACTATTTAAATTTTCAGTTGAGTGCGCTTTATTGCAAACTCCCCCAGCACCGCGGAAAGAGTAAGCTCCCGCAGGCTGCCCGCGTTGGACACCAGCCCTCGCAGCAGAAGAGTCCGCCCTGCTCGGCTCCGCCCAGGAGAGGGGCGGGGATTCGTGGGTGAGCAAGTGGGCGCGGCCGAGGCTCGCAGCTCCCGCCTCTGGGCTCTTACTTCCAGCCTATCGGCAGGGAAAGACTCATCAGTTATTCCTGAACGCCCTTCTCGGCGCTTCTGAGGGGCTGAGATGCTCATTTGCATACTTATTTCGAGCGTCCGTAAAGATTGTTCCAAACCAAGCCACACAAAGTACTTTTTTCTGAACTTGAACTTCATGTGACCTAAGCAGCTTCACTTTTCCTGCAAAAGGGCAGACACATACTTAGGGCTGAACACCAGGACTGGGGAGTGAACGTAAGCCCTCCAGGACCAAGGGCTATAATTCAAAGATTGCTATGAGTTTTTAAAGTGAGGTTCTGTCACTTTGGCTTTTAAAGATAATTCTTAACAGATTTTTATTAGTACAGTGTGCAGTTTCTAATGATTACATTCATCGTGGGGAGTTGGTACACTTTTCTTTTCCTTCCCCTTCCCCTCTCCGTCCTTTGGTTCCCTTATTTTAATTACGTACATTTTTAGGAACCACAGGCGCAGCATAAAATACTTCCCAAGGTACAGAGACAGCGATAAAAATGTAAAATTCATTTTACATGCCAGCATTTTTTCTTTCTTCCTTTTTTAGGAGCCGACAGTTAGCCCTTTCCGGTCTCGAGTCAGGCTTTCGGGGGGTGGGAGAAAGCACCTGCGAAGGGTTACCCCGCAGTCGGGGCAGCCGGGTTCCCCGCTCGGGTCCTCGGCC